TTATATAATAAAGTACAATATAATTCAAATCTCAAAAGATAAACAAAACAACTTTTGCTTTTCGCAGTTAAATTTTTTTAAAATTTTATTTTAAAGTTAATCCAACGGTTAATACTAACACCCAAATTTAATAGAGAAAATGGGTCTCTAAGGGTATGTTTGAGACAACTTTTTAAAAATATTTATAGAACTTATAACTTCTCATAAGTATAAAAAAAAAATAGTTTTTAGAACTGCCCCACTACCACTACTACCCTCACCGCCCCACCACCACCACCACACCCACCACCACCAAAATCACTGTCACCATTCCCATCGCTCCACCATCATCACCTTTTCCACAATAACCACCATCATCCCTACTACCCCCACCCCCCACTACCACCACCATCATCACCATTGCCACTCACAATTGTCACCATCACAATTGGGCGTCGTCACCCATCACAACCATCACCATCTCTCACCACCACCACTGCTCGCCCCATTACACCTGGTGCTTAAATTTTTTTCTCTCTCCTCTATTTTTATAATTTAATTTTGGGCATGAATACAAATATGTTTATTCAGGCATGAAAAATAACTAATTTATATAATAAAGTACAATACAATTTAAAAATCAAAAGATAAACAAAATGACTTTTGTTATGCGCAGTTGAGATCTTTTTAAATTTTACTTTAAAGTTAATTTGACAGTTAATATTAACACTCTAAATGTAATATGAAAAATATGGCCCTAAAGGTGTGTTTGGGGTGACTTTTTAAAAATGTTTTAATATTTATAAAATGCTTATAAGTACTTGAAAAAAAAGTGTTTGGAAACCGCCCCACCAACACATGTAGCCCCACCCCTTCACCACAATCACCACCCCACCACCATCATTGTCGCCACCCTACAACATCCATCGCCCCACTGCCACCTCACCATCACCTCTTCCACCACCACCACCACCACCACCATCGCCTTACCACTTCACTATTGTAACCCTGCCACCACCACCCCATTAGTGCCTCGCCACCACCATCATTGTCGTCAGCTTACTACTATCCCACCATCACCCCTACCACATTACCCCCACTGCCACCCAACCACCATCGCCATTGTCACCTATAGATGCCACCATTTTAACCGGTTGTCATAATTCATCACAACTATCACTGTCTCTCACCACCACCACTATCGTCTACCATCACTACCACCGCTCGCCCCCACTATAACCAGTGCTTAAATTCTTTTATTTATCTTATATCTTTGTAATTTGATTTTAAGTGTGAATACAAATATATTTATTGTTGACAATTTTTTTATTACTCTGTACCTTCAGGCATGAGAAATAACTAGATATATAATAAAGTATAATACAATTCAAATCTCAAAAGATAAACAAAATGACTTTTACTATTCGCGGTTGACATCGTTTTAAATTTTATTTTAAAGTTAATGTAACGGCTAATATTAACACCTCAAATTTAATATGAAAAATAGGCTACTAAATGTGTGTTTAGAGTAACTTTTTAAAAGTACTTTTAAAAATTATTTTTCATAAATATTTTTTAAAAAATAGTGTTTAAAACTTTACCACCACTACCTCTAACACCACCACCACCACCACTGTCACCACCACTACCACCCCCACCTCTACCCCCACCACCCTACAACCATCACTATTGTCACCCTACCATACCCACCACCCCACCACCATCACTATCGCTACCCTATCATATCCACTACTAGAGGTGTTCAAATTTTTGATTGATCGCAATTTCCTATTCTATCCTACCTTACTGAACGGCTAGTCATAAAAATCGAGTAGGAATGCGGAATAATTTTTGGTCTTCCGATTAAATCGGATAGGAATGCGAAATACCCATCAATTTCCGCATTTCTATCCTACCCTACCCGCAAACAATATATTTAACTTTTTTATATTTTTTTTAGTAATTATAAGAGTATTTGTGTGATATAATTTATATTATAATATTGTTATTGTTGTTGATGTTTGAGTTGTGAAAATATGGACTTGTTTTTTGTGTAGGTTACAAGATTTGTGGTAAACTAGTGAACTATTGGAGCAGTTATGATTTTAATGTATTTCATATGGTTTAAACTTAAATATAATTATTTGTATTTGTATAACAATTATAATGGATTGATGTTCATGATATTTTATGTTTTATTGTAATTGTTGTTGTAGTTGTTTTAGGTTTAAGTGTTATTGATTTATTGTGTTGTTAAATTGATGCATGTTATTTAATTGAATTGTTTAAATTATCCAAAAATTAATAATTACAAAAGTGTTTACCTGATTTCCTACTCGATTATTCGGGTATGAAGTCGGGTAGGAAATCGGGTAAGGTAGGTCAAGAAAAAATTCTTCCGCAAGGTATCGTGTAAAAAGACGGAAGACAATATTTTCTACCCGTAAGGTAGAGTGAACACCCCTACCCACCACCCCACCACCACCACCACCTTACCACCACCATCAACATTTTCATTGCCCCACCACCACCACAACCATTACCACCACCACCCACCATCATCACTACCACTACCACCACCGCCCCACCACCACCAACACTTCCACTGCCCCACCACCATTATCCCCACCACCATCGCTGTCGCACCTTACCACCATCGCTACTGTCCCACCATCATCTCTACCACCCCTACCCCCATGACCATCACAACTATCACCACTGCCACCCCCATCATC